CTGTAAATCCCTTATCCAAGTACTGACCCAGCCCTGCTTAGCTGTATGCAATCATAGCCTAAGGTGGTGTGACTGCAAGCAGAAACATCACACATCTGGCATTTCAGCCCAGTTAGCTGACATAGCTCTTCTTCAGAAAACAGTCTTTCTTTCAAGACAGTCATAAGATACAGTTTTATAGGAAGGGTTACTTTCCTGTAGTAAAATCATCTGAGTATATTCAAATATCAGCTTGTCTTTCATATTCAGGTCAATGGTGAAAACACTGTCTATACTACACAACACTGTTTGAATTTGGTGGCATCTTTTTAAAAAAAATTAGGAAATCAATTAGGAAAAATTGATGCAGGCTTCTCTTAGGGCATATGCTGATCTCTGCCTACAGCCTGAATAACTAAGCAATATGCAAGACTGCTGTGCAAGTATTCTTGCCCCACAGCCATGAACAGGAAGCAATGCAGCTGCCATTGCAGCCCATGTGCTACTGTAGCAGGGCAACTGCTGTAGTTCCTCACAGTTGTGGAAGCATGGCCGATATGTGCTGTGATCTCTGACCTGTTTCACCTTGAAGTAGACTGTGTAGTAATTCAAAGTCAGCTTGCACAGACCTAGGGCTCCACCAAAGTCACAAGATGGATATTCCACGTGCAAGCTCCCATGTGCTGCCTCTCGTGTGATAATAAAGATATGCTGAATCCTATGCACACAGCAAATACACTTTGCACTGGAAATAAATCTGAATTTTGGGGGGTTTTAGCTTGTCATAAAAGTGCATAATTTTGGGGGGTTTTAGCTTGTCACTGTAAAGATTTGGTGTTACTCCATCATAATAAGTCTGCACAGTTAGCGTTGTAAAAAAAAAGACATTTTCTTCTCTGTTTCTCTTAGCACTTATTCTGGGCAGACCTCTAGCCCAGTTCATCTGCATATAAAATGAAACAAAATTTATAACAATAAGATCTTGCTACACTTCACAAGGATGTATCATTCCCCCACCCCTCGGTAAATTATTTTGCTGGAGGCTACATCATTCTCTCTGAGTAGTATGTTGGGAGTTGACAGAGGCGTGAATAATTCGCGGCGCAGAAGCCTCCCCAGCCGAGCTGAGCTGCAGCATGTTGGGCCGGCCTTTGATGCAGACTGGTTGGGCAGGTTCCTGGGTGCCCCGGGAACCGGTCTGACGGGCCTGTTATGCCAACAAATTCTGGTATGATTCCATGCTCTCCAGAATGCAGAAACCTGCCCAGCCAGTTAAATGAAAGGCATATTAGGTTATCCATTGCACATTGTATATATCTTAGGTGCAGCAGATCTCCTCTCGGCATTCTCTAGTGTGGTCCACAGTGGCTTCCTCATCTCACTTACACTTGAGGTTTATAGCTGGAGGGGAAGTCAATAGTAAATATTTATCACCCCGACCAAGAACAGAACTTTTCACAATTCAAACAGAAGGGTGAGTTTTGAAAATCTTTCTTTAATATTAATTTAAGATAACCTTAAGCAAAAAATTTCTCTGATGCTTGAAGTGGTATAGTGGCTATCTCCTTAATGTGTCTGAGTACTGCCAGTCTCTATGGCACTTGTTGACAGGATTTTGGTAACTGTAGCTGTTTGAGCCTTCTCTGTGCAGCTCAACATCATCTGCTCTGTCTGCAGAGTATTTACTGCAGAGACAGTTCAATGAACCCAGCACGGGAGTGAGAGATAGAAACTCCACAGCCAATGACTTGGTATTTTGAGCAGTTCACTTAGGTATTGCTTATTGGTCTTCTCTTTTATACAGTGTTTTCATAATCCCTGTCAGATAACAGCAGTGTTGTGAAAAAGCATAATGTCATTACAGTATGATGTGTGGTTACTAATTCTTATCAGACTAACTTTTTTAATTGTTCAATTTTATAGAATGAGCTACTTAAGCTTAGATTTACCTATTTCATGGTAAGATAGGAAACTTATTTGTCATTCTTACTGCTTTCTTTCTACATACTTTTTAGAAATTTACCTGTTTAAAATGAGTAATGGTGGTAGTAATGGCAATAAAAAGCAGTGCTAGTCACAAAGAGCAGGCTGACCTGAAAGTTGTACCTGTATCTGCAGCTGAATCCATTCACAGGTTCTGTGTCAAATAAGAAAAATTAAACAGTGTAAAAACAAAAGCTGTGGAATCTGGTAACTGATTAACTACTGCAGAACAGAACTACTTGCTGAGCTGAATAGAAAGGAATGAAGACAGGTTTTGTCATGCCTGTTAGGACAAAATAACTCTTTAACATAAGTAAATGTGAATCTTTTCAATATCTGTATATCTACATTTTTAAAACCCCTCACATAGCTGCTTTCGTCTCAGAGGCATTCTTGATTTTGTCTAACTTTAAGCAAAACAATTACCATTTTCTTTTGTGCTGTGAAAAAAACCCATATCAGAATCAGTGGATACAAACCACTAGATACAAAATATCTATACTGGATTATGTAAGACTTTATGGTAGTCACATAACAGGAAGCTTCAATTATGTTTACTGCCAGCTATTTCTAGGTAAAATTAATATTATTCTTTTGTAGAGTGCCAAGAAAAAGGCCTCCTGAGCCTCTTTAAAAAATCAATGAATTGAAATCACCTTCTCATTAGCAGCACTGTATGTGTGCGTAAAATTTTTCTTCAAAGTGTTGATAAACAGAAATTAACATAGGAAAATTTTGTGGTCTTCCAGAAGCTGATATATTCAACAGGAAAAAATGTTTAATTTTCTTATATTCTCAGTTGATTCTGCTATCAAATATGTAAGGAAAACTTGCAAAGGGATAAACCATTCTCCAAAGAAAAATTACAGCTGGCTGAACTGGATGGTTTTCACAAGAACTCTGTGTAGAGCCTATAAAATGCTACAAGAGAGCTTTGATTTCTAAAGCTATAGGATTTTAACACAGAACATGTTGAATATATTTAGAATTCAAACAAAATAAATCACTTTTTCAAAATGCTGCTTGCCATCCTCTCTTGGGTTTATGTGTTCTGTTTTATTTGGGTTTTCCTCAGCTGCCTTTTTTTTTTTTAGGGGCTGGAAGTGCAGGGACTATTATTTGGGGATTTCTTTTTCCTAAATGGTAAGTAAAATATCACTTCTTATCTGCTGTTTCTTTTCTGTCCCTGAATTTATGTTGTTCACTACAGTAAAAGATAGGTGGCATGATTTTTTGCGCAGATCTGTTAACTTTTACATCAGCCTTCCAAGGCTGAAATAAATATGCATAACTACCCAAACTGGTCATGTTACCCTGAGAAACATCAATATGAGCAAAACATTTCCATATGCAACTAACACAAACAGGTGCTGCTGCGTAGAGCTTGAAGACCAGGAACACTGTACTGGGGTCCTGCAACAGCATCCCTCATATTGCTTTTTTAAAATGTTTTTCCCCCCTGCATCAAGACTTTCTAAGAGACCTGAGAGTTTGAGCTGAATAAGCCCTGGCAGTTTCTGACTATAGATGAAGAGCAGTGAAAGCACTTCAAAGAAGAGAGCTCCTTAAAATGAACAGTGTTACAGGCATCGGGAAATTTGATCTTGGCTCAGTTTCAAATGTGGCTACGCAAGCAACTTGAGAAGAATCAAATTCAACTAGTGGGGTGATGGAGTGGCTCCTCCCTATTTTTCCAGAGAAAGCAACCACCTGTGACAGACAGCGTGGTGTCTGTTGTCTGTGTGCCCTCCCAGCTGTAAGAAATCATGCTACTCAGAGCACTTCCAGTTCTTACACTTCTAGTTCAAATCCCATTTAGGTAGTAGCTGAACTGTGCCATTTAATCTTATTTTCTGCATCTGAAGTTTGGCTCCTTTGATGTCTTTATTGGCAATTGCAACATAAAGTACATTAAATGAACATGACTGGAGAATTAAACAATATATTTATCCTTCAGTTGCAGATCTGCAGGTAGAGGAGGTTGTGAACACCCTGGCCACGTATATGTACGTGTGATCTATTAAATCTGATGCAAATACATAAGGACCTCACTATTTTATTTTATACATATACACACACACACAAATACACACACACACATATATATGCAAAGAATTAAGTAGTTACCTTTGTGCATAAAGCAAATAAAATATTTAAATTGTACGTCCCATTGTCATTCAAATTTAATATTTACATCTAAATTTAAAGTAATAGAAACAAAAAAATAAGCTTTCTGCTAATATATTTCAGCCTTACTCCGTATGCATATGCAGTGAAATAAAGTTAAAGGCTATTTTTAATTTTATTTGCTCTGCAACATTGCAACAACTCTTACAATAGAATTTCAGTAATAACTGAAATACAATAATAAGTAATCATAAATAAAATAAGTAATACAATCAAACTTCAGTTATTAGCTGATTTGCTGGTAAATAGTCCAGTCATCAAAAAGAAAGGCATTGCCACTAAACTGTAACTGAAAATCGACAGCTCCACATACTGTTATAGGATTAAACATTTCAGACTGTCCAGGTCTAAAATGGGATATGGTAAAATAAGACTCCCTTTTTGCACAATTGTTCATGGGTAAGTGTTGTGTCACCTAGTTCAATGTGCCACAGCAAGGGTTATTTTGAAATCTGGACATGAGCCATGATACCACAGGAAGTTTCATATCTGTTCAAGCACAGTAACGGTGAAGCATTTTTCCCACAGTTTTATTGTCTAAGTGTGTGTGTTTACTCTTACGAGGTGAATGAGATGCAGTTCCAGTTAGACTAGTCATCTTAAGACACCCCGTGTGTGAATGTGGAGTATCAGAGTCTCCAGTAGTTTTCTAGCATGTTCAATGAGCCAGGAATCTATTCAGTGGCCAACTATGTGATTATGGAGTACATAAAATCAAATAAATCTGGAAGGGAGATAAAAGTAAAGTTCAACCGTTAGTGTTAATCCATTTTCACTCGCTGTGGAGTAGATAAGGATAACACTGTAGAAGTCAGTGGATTTATATTGCTGTAAAGATCAACACAAGAGAATATGAAAACAAACAGTTCAGAGTTTATTGGGAAATAAAAGAGATGACATAACTATTTGCCAGAGTGTTTCCTATAAATAGTAAGAAAGGTACAGTTTATGGTAAAGTATCTGATCAATCAGCAAGAGGGTTATTTTATTGCTACTTATCAGATCTGTGCGTAGATTTAAGACATCTGCTTCTCTTAACATGAGGAAATGATTGCTTGCCTACATCACAAACTTTAAGATTACAAAAGTTTCAAAATTAGAATGAAAAGCTGCCAACAAGCATTATTTAATAAGACTGGTGAGTCTATCACAACTTATTATGACATGACAGCTTCTTCCAAAACACTAGCTAATTTTAGTTCCCCTGTATGTCTACTGATCTGATAACGGATCAAACTTACTATTTGATCTTACAGTAAGTAATATGCTGCTGAGCTCCTGAATAAAGTTTTCATTTTATTTAAGTTGAAAAATAAGTAGTTAAACAATGATGAGGAATGAGCAGAAAACCTAAGTACAAGATTTTTCTAAATACTTCAGAATTCATGGTACGTACTTGATGGGAAACCAAGAAAATTTTCAATCTTTTCAAACAGATTTGAAGCTTTACTAATGTGTCATCTCCTGTCTGACAGTATTTCAAAATACCTCAAAAATGTTGATATAGTATTTCAGATCCAGTTTTACTTGTGCTGTACTTCCTTATTTATGATGTTTTCTTGAGACCTGAATGATCTGAGACATTTACCTGAAATGTAAAAAGAATTAGATGGAACAGCTACTAACAATTATGAAATACTTGAACACTTAACTTTTGAAATATTTCTATTAACAATCTAGAAAGTATATGTTTGCAGCACTGCCCCTTCCAAACTGATTGCTATAATATCTTCTAGTCATGCCACCAAGCTGCCTCTGCAAGAGTATATGTATATATATATATGTATAAGTATATGTATCAAAACAGTCCAGTGGAATCATGTGAAGGCAGAATAGTAATAGTGAAAAACTGTATTTTGTTTCTATTTCATCACTAAGAACTACCTAAAATCAAGGGGTTTATCTCATTGCAGACAGCAGGGCTGGTCCCAATGAATGAAGGAACATGGATCTGCAATTCGGGCAAAAAAAAAATAACATTGAGAAGTGACAAAAAAGTTCAGCAGCCTTATACTGTACTAATTATATGTGCCTACTACTTTCCATATTCACATAAAACACAAAAATATGTCTAGACTGCTTTGTGGTATGGTAAAATAACAAGCCATGGAAACTGTTAAGACCAAGAGGGTGGGGAGAAGCCTCCCCACATACTTCTGTGTGTAAGCCCCAGCAACCAGATTACAAATCCTGGGGCACAGAAAGATTCAACAGCATAGCCTTAAAGGCAAGGCCACTTCTGGTACAGTTGTACACCCCGATGATCCTGTCTACATCTAAACCAGCAAGAACTTCTTCCAGGAAGGCAGGGACAGCATTTGTTTCAATGTAAGCTCTCGCACACACCCTTGCTTTTCCAGAGTGTTCTGTGCCTGCTGTCACACCAAACTGTAGCACCAGCCAGGCCCTGGTTTATCCCCTTGGCTTTCCTCTGGCAGCTCTCTGTCAAAACCCCAAGTACTGGGCCAGAGGAGAGGGCTGAGTCAACACCTGGTGACCTCGATGAACAAACACGAGGCAGCAGTATGCCCAGGCGGCCAAGGCCAATGGCATCCTTGTCTGTGTCAGAAATTGTGAGGCCCGCGGGATCCTGTACTTGGCACTGGTGAGGCTGTGAGGTTTGGGCCCCTCAATTCAGGAAGGACATTGAGGTGCTGGAGCATGTACAGAGAAGGGCAGCAAAGCTGGTAAAGGATCTGGAACACGTGTCCCATGAAGCGCTCCTCAGGGAACTGGCAGTGTTTAGCCTAGAGGAGGCTCAGGAGTGACTTTATCGCTCTCGACAACCAGCAGAAATGAGGCTGCAGGCAGCTGGGGATCAGCCTCTTCTCCCAGGCAACAAGCGACAGGGCAAAAAGAAGCGGCCTCAGGTTGCTACAAAGGAGGCTCAGGTTGGACATCAGGAAGAGTGTCTTCACAGAATGGGTGATTAGACATTGGAATGGATTGTCCAGGGAGGTGGTTGAGTCATCCTCCCTGCAAGTGTTTAAGGAAAGACAGGACGTTGCACTTAGTGCCGTGGTCTAGTTGACATGGTGGTGCTTGGTCGAAGGCAGGACTCGATGCTCTCTCAGCGGTCTTTTCTGACCCAGCTAATCCTGATCCTGTGACCGTGCCAGCCCCTCCACCAGAACCTCGCGGCAGCCGCCCAGGCCCGGGAGGGGGGCGGCTCAGACCCTCAGGTTGCCGCACCCTCGCGAGAGCAGCGCGGAAACCTCGCGAGAGCTGCCCGCGCCCCGCCCCC